AAAGTTGTTGGCAACAACGCTTTCCGTGAACGCTTCTCACATCGTTTCCTATGCATTCGAGAATACGGTTTTCGAACCATAGTAGAAAGGGCGGGGAAAGGAATGATCACATCGGCGATGGGATCGTTCACGTTCTCTCGAGCTCGAGAATTGGGCACCAGGAAAGAAATATCAATTTTTGAACTGCAAACAGTTACTTACGGAACTTCAAGTGCGCCTTACTTGGCAATAAAATGTATCAAACATTTAGCTTCTATTAATAGAGATACATTTCCAACGGCATGCGAAGTGATTGACCGTGATATGTATGTGGATGATTTAATCACAGGTTTTGATAATGAAGTTCAGGGCGTTGCTGTTTGTAATCAAGTCTCCAGTATACTAAAATCCGCGTCCTTCTTATTAAGAAAATGGGCTTGATTATGGGCTTGATATTGGGAAAATGATTTATGGTGGAGAGGGCCTAAATTTTGACATGGAAAACGAGATTGGCCCCGCCACTTTAAATGTGCGAGCAATGTAAAAGTTCCCGAATTGAAAAATAAATACATAGTTTCTATTTGCAATTCTTTTTGTAAGCCATTACAGATATTTGAAAGATTTTCGTCTTTAATCAAGCTTAAGCGCGTATTTGCATATGTGCTCAGGTTTATTAGCATTTCAAGAAACAACGAACAAAACGAAACTGGTCAGCTGACGGTGATAGAACTGGAGAACAGTATGATTTGTTTATCAAAATTGGCTCAGAACGATTGTTATCTTGACGAAATAACAATTATTAAAAGCCAAAACGAGCTGAGTAAAAAAAGCAGATTGGTTTCTTTAAACCCTTTCATAGATTCAGATGGGTTATTACGTGTTGGGGGAAGATTAAAAAATTCATCATTGTCATTTGATACGAAACATCCAATTCTTTTAGACGGAAAGCATAAATTTTCTAAATTAATATTTTTGTCAGAACATATCAGATTGCTCCATCCAGGTCCACAACTGTTACTTTTT